ATAGGTACAGGATAGAATTTCACCAAACTGGTTTTATGGGAGACAGTAACTTGTAAGATTCCATTGTTATTAGTGGTTTGTAGGGCATACGGGGGTCCAAGTTCTCCAACCCCTCTCTTCCTCTATGAGTGAGGTCCATGTGGCCAACATCAACTTCATTGTTGCTGGAGTTGGAGTGGTCATTTGGATTGGGTTTGTGTCCACAATCAGGCTTCTTCTTACTCTCCCTACCCTGTTCCTTCCCCACCACAGAGAGCGTCCACAGAACAGGCCTCTACCTGGGAAGCTGCAAGAAAATTGCTGTCATATACCCATCAAGTCTTGCAAGTAGGAACAGAGAGTGGCCCCAAACTAGGTGTGCTTTCCATGTGGAAGCAGTGGAGTCCCCTCTGAGGGCAGCAGAATTCAGGGGTGATGATGGAGGCAGGGGAGAGATAGATAGAGAGATAGAGAGATAGAGAGATAGAGATAGAGATAGAGAGAGAGGGAATATGAAAGAGAGAGAGGAACAGAGACAGAAAGACAGAGATACTGTTGGAACCAGGAATGATCAGTTTCTTTCCCCTTCCATCACTTCTTCCTTAGAGAAGAGTAAATGAGAGGAGCTGGGAGAAGCGCCAATGTTACTTTATCAATACTCCCTCCTGGGGAATAGAGGAAACTGTCTCATGAAAAAATGCGGCCATGGGCCGGCCGAGTGGCGCGTTGGTTAAGAGTTGGCTTGGGACGCCAGCTCTGAGCAGCGGGGCCCTGGCTTGGATCCCACATGAGGGCCAGTGACTCTGCGCCCTGTACAGCTAAGATGGTGAACAACAGCTCGACCTGGAGCTGGGCTGCCCTGAGTGGCCAGTGACGATGTAGGCTGCAGTGGGGCTGCAGTGGGCTGCCGTGAGCTACTGTGAGTGGCTGGCAGCTGGCGTGAGCTAGTGTGAGCTACCGTGAGCCACTGTGAGTGGCCATTCAATGGCCGGTGAGTGACTGCCTCATCCGAGAAGAGCGCAGTGATCACAATACCAACATGGGCCAGTGAAGCGATGTCCTCCACAACTAGACTGAAGGACAAAAGGACAGCAATTTATCTGTTCTCCTTCCCCGATTCCCCAGTGCTGTTCCCCTCCCCCAATTCCCCAATGAAATCTTAAAAAAAAAAAAAAGGAAAGAAAAAATGTGGCCAGGGGAATAGGATTCCCTTTCACACTGTTAAAGATGTACTTTTTTTCACTTCTAGCAAAACAAAAGTTAAAATCAGCCAAACGAGTGGTTATTTAGTCTTTACAGTAGTTCCCCCCTTATGCGTGGGGATATGTTCCAAGACCCCCAATGGATGCCTGAAACCTCAGATAGTACTTAGCCCTATATACACTATGTTTTTTTCCTATACATACACACCTGCGATGAAGCTTAATTTATCAATTAGGCACAGTAAGAGATTAACAACAGTTCCTAATAATAAAATAGAACAAGTATGCCAATGTGCTATAATAAAAGTTATGTGACTGTGCTCTCTCTCAAAATATCTTGTTGTACTGTTCTCACCCTTCTTGTGATGATGTGAGATGATACAATGCCTACACGATGAGATGGAGTGACGAGAACATAGTGTTAGGCTACTCTGAGGGTTACTTGAACACAAGCACTGTGATACTCATAACTGAGAGAGCTACTGAGTGAGTAATGGGCATATACAGGGTGGAGATGCTGGATAAAGGGATGATTCACCTCCCAGGTGGATGGCATGGAGATGTCATCACATTATTCAGAAAGCCACACAATTTAAAACTTATGAATTGTCTATTTCTGGAATTTTTCATTTAATATTTTCAGACCACGGTTGACCACATGTAACTGAAACCATGGAAAGTGAAATCGCGGATAAGGGGGGACTACTGTACATTGGTCAGTCCCTCAGTAAGTACATTTTAAAGTTCACCAATCTTTGAGATACAATCTTAGGTATCTCCATATCACTCATGAAGATTCTGAAGCTCAGAGAAGCCAAAGAGAATTCTCCATACCACCCCTTCCCAGGTGACCCATAAATTGACTATAGGTATAAGAAAATATTAGGTCTTCACACTTTAGAACAGGAGTCAGCAAACATTTTTTTTCTGTAAAGGGCCAGAGAGTAAATGTTTTAGTTACTGACTCAACTTTGCCATTGTAGTGTGAAAACAACCATAGTCAGTCAACACATAAATGAATGGGTGTGGCTGTGTTCCAATACAACTTTATTTATGAAATGTAAATTTTATGTAATTTTCACATGTTCTGAAATATTATTCAGTACATAGAAAGCACTAATTTTTTTCAACCATTAAAAAATTGTGAAACCCACTCTTAGCTTGTGAGCCATACAAAACCAGGCAGCTGGATCTAGTTTTCCAACTCCTGCTTTAGAAAACTTCCCTATAAGTAACCAGTGCTGTGTTCTGAGTTTGTTGTCATCTTCATTTGGGGCACTGATGCTGGACTTAAAAGGGAAAAAAAAGCACAACTTAAAGACCGTGTCTTGGTTATTTCTGAATATATTATCATTTTAGTTTTTCTGGCCATGATGGGGCCAAAACAAGTGTGTAAGTTGAGAATTTCCAGAGTACAAAGCAATTGTCTCCTAAAACGTTGTTTACTATAAGCCTTAAGGGATATGAGTGTTTAGTGTTTCTACATTTTTGTATGTGTTTAATAATTTGATAACTATTTCTTCTATTCAAAAAGCTGTTGTAGAAGTAAAGAACAGTACTTGGCATTCCTTAGATATAAAAACATTTTTAAAATGCTATTTTCCCTTCCTGTGTCCTGCATTTAAATGTTACTGCTGTTGGGTCACTCTGGCTGCACTCTGGTTCTTTGAGCTTCCCTTCTGGCATTTCAGAGCCCATTAGAGGCTGCCCTTCCCTCCTGCTCTACACTTACTGTCCTCACGCATCAGTTCTTGGGCAAGAATGTTTCTGGCTCCTCCCTCTCCCATGATCCTCCTCTGTCCTGTCCTTTCACCTTCCCAGTCCCACCCGTTTGTCAACATCCATCTCAGGCCCTCTTCATCAAGCCTTTTTGGTTGAGCTCTGGCTCATGGATTTTCTCTGTTCTCTAAACTCCCACAACACTTAGCTTGAGGTACACAATTTAGCAGTTAATTATATATTGTCTTTTATTGTTTGTTTTTATTTGTTGTGTTAGTTTTGTCTTGTTCAGTGAGACTGCAGACTCCCTGAAAGCGACACATCTTGTATTTAAAAAAAAAATCCCTCACAGTGCTCCTGGAGGGACATAATCAATATTCCCCATTCTACCAATAAGTGTTGATTGATGGATTGATAGGTACAGATGTGAGCCTTTTTACCCATCTCTGCAGTATCTGGTGCTTAAGAAATATCTGTCAAATTTATGAAACTGAGTTGAGTAATGAAGATCAGCTCTGAATCCAGTATTCAGTTGGGCAAATCACACAGTCTCTGCATCCATTTTCTCATCTGCAAAAACGAGATAAAATATTTGCCCAGCCTACCTCAGAGAGTTACTGTGGGGCTTAAATGAGGTGATGTGACTTTGAACTATATGAATGTTAGGGATTATTATACGTCACGTTTCTTTTCTCAGGAGTCAAGGGAAAGTAGAGTTTGGCATTTATCGTGAAGAATGGGTCCCTTTCTAACCTCTGTTAGAATGATGGGCCATTCTCAGGGAAGCCTGAATAGAAGTTGGAAGGTAGGAAGAGAATAAACATGATCTCTTGGCTTCCAGTTCTTCTGAGAAGGTATTACAGTTGTGGAAGATACAATGGTGGTGAGATTTTGAAATGGAAGTTCCCCAGCTAAGTTAGTCTTTGCTGCTCCTCACTTAACGTATCTTTTCTGTACTCTTGCCCCCAAACCCACTGCTTTCATAATCTTGTGGAAGGAAATCTTAGTGAAGAGATAAGAACTTCCTGCTTTTGGAGTGGATCCTCTTCTCTGTTTCATTTCTTCAGATTCCAAAAGGGAAATATTACTCTGGCTATCATTTATGAATTGACATAATTTTTCTTTTTTCTTCTTATACATATTCCCCGTCTCCATTAACCATCTACTGATTTTTTCGTTTTCCTGTCCTTGGTCCTTATTTTAGTTGACCAAAATACCAAAGTGTATTTACCATCATGTGCTATTTCTTGAGATGTTGTCCTCTGTTTTTAATTAAAATAAAACTATTTGGGGTGGAAGTTTTAGATATCTCTTTATTAAATCAAATTCTAAAATGTATTTTTTATTAGTGCTTAAACCTGGACTGATTTTTTTTTCCTTTGGGTGTTTCCCAGTGTGCCGTAATGCATATATACATGTACAATTCTTCCCAGGGCCTTTTTTACTCCTGTTACCCTAGTATTTAACACTAATCGATGTTATTCCTTTTTAAGGCTCAACTCCAGGTTTGAGCCATCCCTTAGAAAGTGGCCTAACCTCGCTGCCACCCAGAACATTATGGGGAGTTCCTGGGATCCCATTCCTATGGGATCTCATAGCTGGAAAGCTATTTTCCAGCTTTTCAGGACCTAAGCAGTACTGCTATGGAAAAAGGAAAGCCTAATTTCCCATGCCTCGTCTCTTTTCTGGGAAGGGCATGGCGTGCGGTGAGCAAGACACCTGCTCCAGCGTCCTAGGGAAAAAAACCACCACTGCCTTCCCCGCCCCCAGAAAAACACCATTCTCCAGGTGCGTCCCCCTCCCAGCCTGGGCGGAGAGTCAAGGACGCCCCTCACGTGCAGGATGGGCGCGGAACGGCAGTGGCTCCACCCTCTCCGGCCCGACTGCGCCGGCGGAGCAGGTGATCCCGCGCCTGGCTGGAGGCGCTCGAGTTAGTTACCTGGCGGAGCGCGGGCGGGGCGTGGAGGGGCGGGGCGAGCGGCGGGGGCGGGGCCGAGGCCGGGATGTCATCCCAGGCTTCGATTGGTCGGCGCCGCGCCTGTCTCCATGTGCCGCGCAGCGGAGGCACAACATTCAAGTCCGGGGGCGGGGCCGGCGCGCGCCAGGAGGAAGCGGCCGCGCCGCAGCTGCGGGGCGTGGGGGCGGTGGCGGCGGCGGCCAAGGCCGAGGCTGAGGCGGCGGAGGCTGTGGTGAAGGCGGCAGCGCCCCATCGGGGACGGTGCTCCCTTGGGCCCCCTTTTAGGCCCCATGGATGCGGCGGCAGGCGGGGGCTGCGCCTCCGGGCCGCAGCTGCTGCTGAGCGAGGGCGAGCAGCAGTGCTACTCCGAGATCTTCGCGCGGTGCACCGGCGCTGCAGGCGTGGGCTCAGGGTCCGGGCCCCCTGAGGCCGCCAGGGCCGCTCCCGGTACAGCCACCGCAGCCGCGGGCCCCGTGGCCGACCTGTTTCGGGCGTCGCAGCTGCCCGCCGAAACGCTGCACCAGGTAGGTCCTCGCGCCCCCTGCCCCCTGCGGATCATTTCTGTGGGGACAAGGGGCGGGGTGAGGCGACAAGGCTGCCCACAGGGACCCAGAGGCCTCGGCCAGGTCGCAGAGAGGGGGTTCGCAGCCGGGAATGGCGGCGACGCCCTAGTCCCCCGGGGGACACCAGCCTCTTCTGCAGCTTAGCAGTGCTGGGTGCGCTCCCCGTCTTCCTTCCCTGAGAGGGACTGGCACTCCCTCCCCTCCTCCGGCTATTTCTGGGGCTCTGCAGCCGCCCAGACCCAAAGTTTGCCTTGTTCTGGAAGTGGTGTTTGTTTTGGCTGGTGTCTGGTTTAGCCTCCTCTTGCTCGCTGTTGCCTTTCCCTCTCCTGGTGGGGTGGGGTGGAGGGGCTTGCTGGGGTTTGCACTTGAGGGATGTGTGGTGCGTGTGTTTGTAGGGCCAGGTACCTAGGACTAAATGTTGTCCGCTCTGTATACTTCTAATATATACATATCTGCTGTGTATATTGCCCGCTGGCGTATTTCTGAATACTAATATTAAACTAGGAAGCCTTAATGACAAGTTGCAGAGCAGGGACACAGGGCTGCAAGAGGACGTCTGTCAGGGCAGAGCCAAGCTTCCCCTTTAGGGCTAGAGGTGGAACCCAGAGGTCTGCCATGGGGGACAACTGTATTGCCAATATTATCATTACTTGGACTTGAAGATAGAATTGGAAAGTAACGTGTCATAGGCACCTTCTTTTGGCTGCTCCAAACCTGGAAAAGGACGAGGGTATGATCCACAGCAGATGCTGGTTTTGTTTTGTGTTTTCCTTGGAGCTTGGAGAAAGACTACTTGATAAGCACTTAGTCTTTTGATATTACCAGCACTAAATAGTGATGAGAGTCTTAATATCAAGCCCAAAACGTGAAATGAAGCTTTTCCTAAAAGCAGTAGCCAGTATGAAAGTTAACATCCATTGAATATTTAAAGTGGGGAATGGTATTTTAAAATCTAGTTCCAAAGGCACACTGACGGTTTTATGGTTTACTTGCAATATCATTGTGTGTAGTTTTAAAAAAAATTTTATCGCTTAAGACTGCATTTTATACTGCTGAAGCATGCATATGCCTTTCTGTGGGCGTAACTTTAGTCACTGCAATCTTTCACCTTTTAGCATTCACAGAATTTATTAGTATTCACATAATTTAGCATGGTTGATTGTCCCTTAAGAAGTCCTTGATATGTAGATAGTTCTGCCACTGCTGTTGAGCAGTTGAGCTGGACCAGGTAGAGAAAAAAGTCCGTGTGTTAAAACACAAACCATGGTTTTTACGGCAGGCCCTCAGAATACTCCCAAGCATAATAAATTTATTAAATGCTGTCACTACTTCTCAACTGAAAGAGGAATAAGTGACTGGGGCCACACGGAAAGTGACAGCTGGGCACCATTAAGGCTTGTTTTGTTGTCAGTAATAGATGGAGTGTGATAAGAGAAGATTGGGTATATTAAATCAGAATATGTTGGGTAACTCCTCCTTAGGAGTTGGGGAGGGGGCTTTCCTGATGCTAGAATCTGTGCTTCCTTGTGGTATAGATGATTTAAAAAGAACCCAAGGCACAGTGCCTTTGCATGAATTAGATTCTATTCTTGATGTCCAGTCGAAACCTGCTTGCAAAAGACTGCTTCTGATGCTGGCAAAAGAGGACATCCCTAGAGGATTGCTTGTACAATAGTAAATCTCTCAGAGCTTTAAACTCCCTTTTTCAGCCCAGCAAAACAAAATACATTCTTCTCCATTAACCTAACTCAATTGCAGTAATCCAATATTCTTTTTACTGGTGAAAATTAACAACAAAGGCATCCTGGACAGGGAAATGTAATCAGAAGAGATTCAAACAAAGCCAGCAGCTGACAGCCACTTAATTTTTACCAACCACTTTGGTGGTGTGTGTTGTGGCGTGTCTGGGTGTGAATATGTGTGTGTGCACGCACGCACATGCTTCATTCACCTTGATTTGCACTCCTCCATGAGTGTATTAGCCATTATTTAAAACAAATGTAGACTTTTTTCTCTTTCCCTATTAAAGAGAAACCTATAAGTTCAGAATTAAGTGGCCCAACAGGTATAACTGCTCAAATCATGGTGGCATTAATCAGCCCTTGTAGTTTCTATGGTAACAGCCAGATTTTCTTCTTAGTAAGCATACAGTTAAGATTACCATAATGTTCCAGGAAGGGTGAAAATCTTACCTGGAGTAAATGTTCTATAAAAATACTTAATTGTGTCTGCTAGTTGGAGTAAAAATAAACTACTACACCTGTTACTTCACTATGGCAGTGAATTATCTTAGGGATTTTTTTAGTTGAAATGTATATGTATATATATCATTTATTAAAATATATTTTAATATACTTTATTTTTTCAGAGCAGTTTCAGGTTCGTAGCAAAATTGAGGGGAAGGTGCAGAGTTCCTGTATACCCCTGTCCCCACACATGTACAGCCTCCCCTATGATCAGTGTCCCCACCAGAGTGGGACATTTGTTACAGCTGATGAACCTACATTGACACGTCATAATCACCCAGAATCCATAGTTTACATTACAGTTCACTCCTGTTGTTGTACATTCTATGAGTTTGGGTAGATGCATAATGATATGCATCCATCTTTATAGTATCATACAGTGTAGTTTCACTGCCTTCTGTGCTCCACTCTGTGCTTCATCCCTTCCTCTTACCCCCAGCCCTTGACTGGCCACTGATCTTTTCACTGTCTCCATAGTTCTGCCTTTTTCAGAATGTCATATAGTTGGAACCACACAGTATGTAGCCTTTTCAGATTTGGTTCTTTCATTTAGTAATATGCATTTAAGATTGTTCCATGTCTTTTCATAGCTTGATAGCTCATTTCTTTTTAGTGCTGAATAATATTCCATTGTTTGGATGTGCTACAGTTTATTGATCCATTCACCAACTGGAAGACACCTTGGTTGCTTTCAAGTTTTGGCAATTATGGATAAAGTTCCTATAAACATCTGTGTGCACTTAAGTTGTCAACTCCTTTGGGTCAATGCCAAAGGTCATGGTTGTTGGATCATATGGTAGGAGTATGTTTACTTTTGTAAGAATCTGCCCAACTATCTTCCAAAGTGGCTGAACCATTTTGCATTCCCATCAGCAGTCAATGAGAGTTCCTGTTGCCCCACATCCTTGTCAGCATTTGCTGTTGTCAGTGTTCTAGATTTTCATTTTTTTAATAGGTATGTAGTAGTATCTCATTGTTTTTATTTTTCAGTTCCCTAATGACCTATGATGTTGAGCATCTTCTTGTGCTTATTTGCCATCTTGAATTATATTTTAATGCATCATAATAGCCTATTTTAAAAAGCCTTTTGGACTCTTTATAGAGTATCTTCATGTGCTGATTTATTTTAAAAGGATTCTAGTAATAGGTAGAAAATGGTAGAATGAAACATTTAAATTAGAAAAAGAAAATATCAATGTCTGAGAAATAGGTAAATAGTTTTTGTTTAATACTTCAAGACAAAGAACTACAAATGTTAGAGTGATACGTTTCCCAGGTTGTGAAGTATTTCACTGGTATTCAAAGGCTAGCATTTTATTAGCAGGGATAGTGTATGGTGGGAATCAGGTTTGGGTTTAACGTGTATCTGAGGGATTTGAGTTTCTGTTGCTCATCAGACACTGTTCTAGCAGCTGAGGTTATAGCAATGAATCAAACACAAATTCCTGTCCTCAAGGAGCTTACATTCCATTGAAGATGTTTTTATTCTTCAGGGTTTGAGTAAGAAAAGATTTAAAATATAACATCTAGAAATAAAATGTCTGCCTTAAGCTGGCAAGTTTTGTGTTTGACATAACGAATTAACTGTAAACTCATTTATAGTATCTGTCTTTTAGGATGGTGTCAGTCTCTGGGAATGCTTTGAATATTTCAAGTAGTCATTATAATTATTTTCATTTTTATGATAGTTAACTCTTTGTTTTGAAATAGTGTCTTTATTTTTCATTGAGATATTGGTTTGTCGGAAAAGTCATGATGCATTTTTGCAACGAAAAACATAGAAAAAATATGTCATGGCTTTTCTGATAACCCAATGTAATTTAACATTAGGTTTCAGGTGTACAACATAATGATTCGATATTTGTATATATATTGCAAAAATGATGACCACAATAAGTCTAGTTATAATAACATCTATCACCACACAGTTAAACAAACTTTTTTTCTTGTGGTGAGATTATTACGATTTACCCTCTTAGCAACTTTCAAATATACAATATAGTGTTATTAACTATTCTCACCATGCTGTACATTACAACCCTATGACTTACTTATTTTATAACTGGAAGTTTGTACCTTTTAAGCACCTTTACCTATCCCCACCTCCCCCACCTCCCCCACCTCTGGCAACCACCAGTTCTCTGTATCTGTGCATTGGGGGTGGGGGTTGGTTGGTTGATTGGTTTTTAGATTCCACATGTAAGTGAGGTCATACAGTATTTGTCTTTTTCTGTCTGACTTGTTAGTTAGCTCTTAGACATTAAGGGGAATAGTTATAAAACACTGTTGATTCTGTATTATCAGGGGAAATCACTGAATGGGAGAAAAGCCAATACGTGATGTCTGATTGTTTAAGCAGCTTAGATTGAGATAAAGAAGTAAAACAAAGCTGTGAGAAGTAGGGGATATTTAAAAAATTCCTGCACATGGCCTCTCCTTTGGGTAGAAGTCATATTTAAAGGTTTTCTTGCAATTCTTTGAAGCAACTAACTGTTGAGACATTAAAGAAAACTATAGGCAAAAGACAAAATTCTTGTGAACTTTTTCCTGTTGTAGATTATTAGGCAGAACTATTTTTAAAAAAGGCAGATGAAACAATTTTCTATTTTTGCATCTTTATATCATATCCTTTGTAGCATGTACTTTAGGGAGAGGGAGGCCAGCATACTAAAACAGTAACTAGGAATATATGCTGTTTGAGATAGAAAGTGTTTA